AGACGTCGAGGCTCCCACATCTTTTAGAGAGTCGCCTCAAAGATGTCGGTAAGGTTGTCAGCCTTACGTGCCGGCCTTAATTTACCCCCCAGGAAGATTCCTGGTACTCATTTCTGTTAGAGGCTGAGTCGAACCCAGGGCCATATTGTGGCTGGAAGGATTAGGTAAATCGAAAAAATTCCATGACCTCATTGGGAATCGAACTCGTGACCTTCCAGCTTGTAGCATACACGTAGTGCCTCAACCAGCTATGCTACTGTATTGGTACGTAACCCAATTTAGATTTTCATGTTTTGTTTGTAAGAATGAAGTTGACGGCGTTTCTTTAATCTTGACTATTAGAAATACTTATTATTATTATCATCATCATCATCCTTAGTGGGATGCCACTACTGCCAATTGTACCAGCCCCAGATGATAGATGGTGATAATTGTGTAGCAATTGGTGGAATGAAGATCGGCAGGGAAAACCGAAGTACTCGGAGAAAAAGTGTCACTTTGTCCACCACAAACCCAGGCCACTGTGGTGGAAAGCCAGTGACTAACAGCCTGAGCTATGGTGTGACCCTATAAATACTAAGTACTATCCAGGAAATGAAACCGGGCATTGGGTGTGAGAGGTATGGGCATTGTCCCTAAAAGTAGACAGCCGTTCAAGAATACAAAGGTACATGGGGCATTTCAGATTTCTTTTATTTACCTTATTTATATTATTAAAACATGTAGGAAAGCAGCCACTTGCGAGGCCTATACATAGATGGAGAATTCAAAAATGGCTCTTAATAAAGTAGGATGTGAGGGTGAAGACTAGACTCAGCTGGTGCAGAATGGGTCCCAATTATGGACTCTTATGAAATGTGGAAATGACCCTTCTGGTCTCATATAAGGCGGAGAATTTAACCAGATGACGTCTTCAGATGTATTCTGTTCCATAGAATTGGTTTATTTATATTTCCAGGTAATATTGCCCTACCCATAGCCAGTTGCTATACCGACTGTGTTATCAACCCATTTGATTATTGTTCATTTCCTTTTTTTCTTGCCCTTTGGGAAACTTACTGTAAAATAATATTCCCATATCTTTCAAATACCAGGAGACCTGCAAAATGCATATTGTTTTGTTTCTGCCTAATCTTTATGTATGATATTGTTCCTTATTTGACTAGAGGGAACAGGAAGGGTTTCACACTAACCATTTTGGGAGCAAGACATTCACAGATATTCCCAGAGGCCATACAGGATGATGGTCTTTTAGGAGCAATGAGAATTTCATGCTCTTTCAAGTGTGGGAAGAAGTTCAGTTGGCGGGATGATTACAGAAGTGCAAATCTCCGCTGAGAAGCCATTTATCTGTCAGAAAACTAAGTCAGAGTTGAATGACATTATAAGAAGGCAGAGTGGGAGGAAACAGATGTGTGATTTCATCATGATGGCATTGACCTCACGGTCTCATTCTCTGTGCCACACTGTCTGACCATGAAAATGAAAGTAATTCACACATTGCATGTCTTTAGCTTTCAAATGATCTGTAAAAGTTGCCTCTAAAAATATATATTGTATGTATATATGTATTTATATATTGTAATGTTTGCCTCATTTTTGAGCAGTAATTTTCAGTTTGTCATGACCTTGACATCAGTTTATTTTAGTTCACTACTGTTTCACTGAACGCCACTGCACTATCTGTCCTTCCATTTACCACCTTGCTGACAGTTCACACTGCTTTCCCACTCGTGTGCTGGACGCCACTATTAAGGTTGAAGATTAGCTTTAGCCTTGGAAAGTACAGGTACACCATAGTATTTCAGGCAGAAGTGGGTGCTATTAAGGCATGTGCAGTGGAGAATCTAGATAAGGTGATATGGAAATTGAAACATCTGCATTCTTTTGGACAATCAAGCTACAATTAAAGTACTTGACAATTACCAGATCAGTACAAAACTGGTTTGGGACTGCCATCAATCCATTGTGAAAATGGTTGCACATAATAGTGTTCTGTTGATATGGGTGCCAGACAAACAGACTATAAAAAATACTAGTAGCCCTTAACATCACTTGAACATTCAAAGGATTTCCTACAAAGAGAATCTGCCAGAAGAACTAGGGAATTATTGAAACTAAAATAGAAACCAGTTATTGTGGGTGACAGGATTACTTGAAGGACACTGCCAGCCGAAAGGACACCTTTTCAAATTGGGATTAACCAACAGTCCCAGTTATGAGAAGGTACCTGGAAAAAGATGAATCAGCCATGTCCTATGTGATTGTGAGGCCATAGCTTACATAAGATTTTCACATGGGCCACTACTATACTTTGTTGAAAGTGTAGGATTGTTGAGGGGTTGAAACAGAGGGAGATGCACAATAGATCCCAGCTGGTCATGCCACAACGATGGGTCAGGGCAGACCCCTTATTCATTCATAACTTAACTGACTCAGCTCATGAATTCCTCACATTTCTGTTCAGGCATAGTCATTCTGGAAACTTATGGCTGGAAGCACAAGCTGTGCCATTTGGGAACAGTGCATAACCCCTCCCCCCTCTTGTTTTGTTTTTGAAACTGTTATAGAGAATATCAGAGAGTAAATTGTATGTGAAAACATAACCCTTCAAGGGCTAACTTGAGCAAATGCCACCATCTGTCTCTTGCTAGAAGATTTGTTATTGCCAAAGAAGTGTGTCACATTATTACAATCCATGCCAAAGGAGCTTTTTCCCTACAAGAATCATTTGGTATCTTCAGAATTGTTCAACACAGAAAATTGCAAATAGTATTCACAGAAATTTCCATGACAATTCAACAAAAGAAATTGAAAACTATCTTTAACAATCTCATGTGAAAGGCAAGATTTTTTATAAGGCTCAGGGAGTTTTTCAATTATTGATTTTTCTCCTGAAAAACGGTCTTTCACAGACTTCTTCAGAATCAGTGCACCAGCTGAAAATTCTTATGCGAGGGTTGGAACTTTAATAGTGGCAACTATTTATTTACAACTGATACAAAACAGACGCATGTTTCAAAGTTTAACTGTCCTTCAATGTAGTCACCAGCATTGTGTACAACCCGTTGCCAGTGATGTGGAAGTCGTAGGATACCTTTAGCAGCGCCTGTTGTGTTGATAGTTCGAATGGAGCGGTCTACTACCTGAAGAATCTCTGGAACAGTTGTGAAGCGAATGCCACGAAGTGGTTCCTTCATCTTAAGAATCAAGTCGAAGNATCACAGTTATACACGAGAATCACCATAACTTTCACATTGCTGGGGTTCTGGCAAACTTTTGATTTTCGTGGTGACCCGAAATGACGCCATTTGTTCGATTGGTGTTTCATTTGTGGCTCATACTATTTGGCCCATGCCTCATCCAGCATAATGATACGGCGTAAGAAAGCCTCTCCTTCGTGCTCATAGTGCTCCAAGTGGTTACTAGCAGCGTCATATGGTAGCCATTTCGGCATTTCCGTCAAATCATGCGGAACCCATTGTGATGCAATTTTTCTCATGCCCAGGCGTTCCTTCAGAATATGAAGCACAGTCGTATGTGCTAATCCTGTCTCTCGGGCCAGCTCACAAATTGTATGGTGTCGCTCTCCAGTAACACGAAAAGAGCATACACTTCCTCTTCATTGACACTAGGACAAACTGGCCGACACATGTCTGCCACATTTTGGCGTCCCTCGTTGAAGGCTTTTACCCACCTTGCCACTGTTCTGTAAAGCAATGCAGGCAGATTCCCTGTAAGCCTCTTTAAGACCTTAATGACACTGTCGTGCTGTATGGCCTCTGGACCATTCAATTTTTATCCAACTCTGTTCCTGTTTCGAAAACATCATGACAACACTACATTAGACCACCAGCTAACACGAGGCTCTGTTCTTCTCATCACTGCGCATGTGTGTGATGTGGGAAGGGAGAGTCCATTTGCTCTGAGGTAAGGTAGGTATGTAACTAACGTGTGGTATAAGCGACATTATTTGGTTCCGTTGCATGGCGTCTCTACAGCAGTGTTGCCACTATTGAAGTTCCAACCCTCATATAGTATGTATTGTGTACTATACCAGTGACAGCTGCTGAACCTGAAATATGATTTCCTGCATCAAATAGAATCAAGTCCTTCCATAGAAGCATAAAAAGTGAGAGACAGGTAAATTGTTAGCTATATTGATGGTGAAAGAGGAGCTCATAGAGACATTGCCTGACTTAAGCAACCAACTTGTGTATAAATTCATACAACTGAAGACCAGGTGAACAGACTTTTTGTAGAGATGTAGGGACAGTAGTGAGTGTGGATGGTAAAAGAATGTGTAGGAAGCTATGTAAAATGTTAGTAAATATGTATTGAAAATAAACATAATATTATACCAATACAGAATAATAAATAATAAGTAATTGTGGACAAGAACTGAAGGATGACAGAGTTCAGAGAAAGTTTTCAAATAGTGAGAGGGAAATGACATTCAGCCAGTCAGAAATTTTACGCCTTTCCTTCCATGCTTCTGCATATCTTTCAGTAACATCCATATTAATTTTCACAAATATCATATGAAGTTTTGTGAAAACTACATGGTAGCACATGCATGTTATTAAACTGACTTCAAATTCTTAGTAGCAACATTGGTTTCAATGGTTCTGAACCCCTGGATACAGACATTTAGCAATAATAAATGTACCAGAATTGGATAATTTTGTATTACATTTTATTTGGTCCCCCCCCCCCCAGAAAAATGAGGCACAAACCACTACGGGGATGATGATGGTCTCATAATCCTTGAATCAAAATGTCGGAACTTAAAAATATAAAATGAAAGCCTTCTTAGTTGTGAAGGTGAAAGCTACTACATGATCTGAGGCTGCAGGAACAGCCTGGACCATTGCAGATAAAACTGTCAATTATTCTTTGAACAGAATTTCTGCTATTACTTTGTAGTCAACAATAAGGACTTGAGCCCATAAATAGTTAATCAGGAATTGGTGGTGATATAAGATTTCTGTGATTTGCAGGAGAGTCTTGGTGGTAATTCACAAACCACAATGTTGGCAACCATCAGTCCAGCAAACACACATCTGGATGAGACATTAGCTACACTTCGTTATGCTGGTCAGGCAAGGACAATTGTCAATCGAATGCGTGTCAATGAGGATCCACATGACCGCCTTATCAGGTTTGTTCTCTTGTAAAGAAAGTCATCAGTCATTTTTCTTATTTTATGTAAGTTGTACCGAAAGTCATGAGCAACTTTTTTTTGGCATGCAACCTGGGAACAGCAGACGAAAGAGAGTATGGTTGTAGGTGGAACCAGCTGTTGGTTAACCTTGAGTGTCTTGTGACGTCAATAGCTTGCATCATGTGACCAGTATCACTCCTAACAAGATGGCCGACGATATGTCGTTTCACCAGCGTGCTGTCATCGAATTTCTTGTGAAAGAGGAAATTGATCAAATGCATGCCCTAGTCCCTTTTAAGAACAGTCCTTTGTGTCACTCTTATTCTCAGCTCTGGCATGGACATTTAGAACAATAATAAACCAGTAGTAGTGGGTCATTCCATATTAAATCAACACTGTTTAGGGACAAAATTTTCNCCCTAGTCCCTTTTAAGAACAGTCCTTTGTGTCACTCTTATTCTCAACTCTGGCATGGACATTTAGAACAATAATAAAAAACCAGTGACCTCATAGTAGTGGGTCAAAGTCTCCCTAAAATATTCCCTTGTTCTGATTCATTAGAGTGCTTATAACTCTGGTCTTAACTAAGAGAGCTCATTCTTGTACCAATTGTTATCTTTTAAGTATGGCATTCACTTGGTGTTTCACTCAATATTTTAGGCTCATTAATGTTTTGGCCTTGACCTATGACCTTAGTTTATGAAGAACCGTGTAGTCACATTTATGCAAGTTTTTCGCACTACACTTAGTGTTTGTTTCAATACATCTTTGGAAAATATTGTGTTGGAACTTGAAATTGATGAGAAGGAATGATTTTCTATTGGTTATTTGTCTTATTGGGCATGATGAATTTTCTTGTTACCTGTACATATATGCTGCAGGGCATCATGTCTCATCCAGCCTTTCAATTCATTCCTGATGCCAGTACAGTACTTCCTTGCCTCGCAAAGTCTGTAGTGGTTTGGTCAAATCCCTTTTAATTCCCATTTCAGTATGAATGAGTTAAATAATGATTTCAGAGAACTGCAAGCAGAAGTTAAGCGTTTACGTGCCTTACGGGAAGACTATGAACGTCAGATGAAGAGTGGAGTGCCTCGCCGATTACTACAGCCAAATAGGACTGATTTAAGTGACAAAGACCATGAGATTGAGATTCTGAAGGAACAGCTCAAACAGAGTGAAGAACAACTCAGACAGTCTGAGGAAATGGCAAAGGCTCAGAAGTAAGTCACAGTAGCTGTTGCTAAGTAATGGCAGTCAAGTGGTTAAGCATGTTTTTGTTTCAAATTATTATGTAACGCTCCAGTCCTCAGAAGTCACTTGTTGGGCCAGAGTTGCAGATTCTTGTTTCTTGTTTAACTCACTTAGGTTTCTTCTCCCCCCCCCGGGCAGAAAGCCCAGTTGTCATATTTATTCATTATATAGTCTAGTCTGCTTTTTGTTCAACCTTTAAAATCATAGAGTAGCTTCCATCTACTGCCATATCAGCATAATGGTATTTTATATCAATGTCACCAGTGAACAGTGTATTACTGAAATTATTCTAAATATGTAGGATGTGAAGGGCAGAACCACTTGGCTTCATATCTCCAAGGCACTGGTTATAGACTGGAAACAAATTCGGCTGCAGCTAGCAGAGAAGTTCATATGAATGATTAAAAGCCTCCAAAATACTTTTTTTCTCTCACTCTTATCTTTATTGGCATTAAATTTCATACCATTGAAGTCATAGCAATTTTGTTCACTACATTATTAGCACATAATTTGTACTTGAATGAATGAACACTTTGGCATATCCTTATTCAGTTTGGGACTTCTTTTATTTTCAGACCTTTCCGACTGAACATTCTATTCATTGGACCAAATGTCTTGTAAAGAAAAAATCAGTTATCATTCCATAGCTAATTTGAGACAGATACTGTGAATGTGTTCATTAAGAGCTTAGAAGAGCTATGCTTATTGATGAGGGCCAGTCACATCAGTTACACATTTACATTCCAGGTCATGGACAGAACGTCTTCAAGAGGCTGGGAAACGGAAATCTGCTGAACTGAATCACCTTCAGCGCTGTGGATTGGCGCTGAAGCTTGACTGGCAGCAGCAGTCACCTTGTATAGTGAACCTAATAGCTGACCCCAGCCTCTCAGGCACCTTACTGTACCTCCTGCCAGTGGGTATTGTCCATATTGGCCGGTTAGGTGCAACAACTGGGGATCAACAACCAGACATTGCTCTCAGTGGACCTTTAGTTCAGCCACACCACTGGTATGATTAATGGACCTAAAAGTTCACTCATCTGCTAAAGTGATAAGATAAGCAAAACGAAACACAATCAAAACCCATTAAACCTAACTTTAGACTATCAGATAACTCTGTCCGAAGAGTATCCGACCTTGGGCCAGGAAAATAAAGTTCTGTATCTGGTTGGTGACAATACCTAATCCCCTTCAAAGCAGGCCCCTTGTGACTCCACACATTTAGCCCAGCAGTCCTTCCATTGCTGGAAGCAATTTTGGAATGGCATGCAGCTGCGCCATCGCGTTCTGTATGATGTCCTCGTGGCTGTCAAAACGGGAGCTTTTTACCGGTGTCTTCAATCTCGGGAACAGCCAGAAACCACAAGGAGCCATCTCAGGAGAGTAGGGAGCCTGGCGAACCTGCGGAATGCCGTGCTTGGCCAGGAAACCCTGGATCAGGTGTGATGAATGAGCTGGGGCGTTGTCATAATGCAGCTGCCAGTTGTGTGCGTCCCACAGCTCCTGTTTCTTGTGCCAAACTGTATCATGAAGGTGGCAGAGGACTTCTTGGTACTACTCCTTATTGACAATTTGGCCTAGTGGTGCGTACTCATGATGCAGAACACCCCGGTAATTGAAACAAAAACAGTCACTATCACCTTCACATTGCTCCTCACCTGTTGTTCTTTTTTGGGCCTCGGGGATGTTGGATGCATCCATTGTGATGCCTGGACCTTGGTTTCCGAGTGACTGCCATTGCATCATTGCCAAAAGCCTGCTGAATTTGCGAATTGTTTCTGCTTGGGTATCCCCAAGTTTCTGACAAAACTGGATGCAGTATTGCTGCTCCAAGCGTTCTGTCATCTTGAGCAAAACGAGAATGTGACGGACACGTGTTACACCACTTTGCTATCTGGCAGCCACAGTCGCATCCGGCGGTGTTGTGCGTCAGCAAAAATTAACGCATGTGCATGAAAGTCCCTTCTACCACTACGCTCAGTTTCCCCACCCCTTTGGCCATTACTTACAGCGGAAAAAAATAAAGTCGGATACTTTTTGGACAGCGGTGTACAGGTAGTAGCACTTCATTTCCTGCATATGAGATGTAATGGTTATACTGTCATGCCTTAGTTTTCACAGTGTTGTTTGCCTAAATAGGTCACATAGCATCAAAGTAGGGTGGGTAGTAATGTGTACTAACCCTTAGCGTATGATATAGCCATGCTTGCACTTGTGCCCATTTAGTTCTGCAGTATCAAACTGACTTACAAAGAAATTTCCACATAATTTTCTTTTAGGGAACGATGTATTTAAACATTGAATTGAGGAAAATGTTAAATTGAGATAATATAACATTGAGATTATTGCCTTGAGAACATTGAAATGATTGTTTGATGAGGGAATTCCTTAAATCGAAGCGCTCTAAATGGGAGTTCCAGTATGTATTTTTTCGTGACTTTGCTCAGTCTCTTTATTGAATGTTGGGATAATATCCTGAAAGTTAGCTCAAGTGGTAATGCTCCCGACTTATATTCAGGAGGTGCTTCATTTGAATTTTGGCTGAAACACCAAATGTCCTGGCTGAGGTTGTGATTTTCCTCAGTCTGTTCCGACACACCAGAGTAGTGCCCCAAAGTATGACATGACCACTTCCACGGCCTTTCCAATTCATTATTCACTATCAGCTGATCATTTTATACTATATAATTTGAGTTAGTTAGTTAGTTAGTTATTTAGAGAGGGTGGGTTTCCCCATGCACCGCGACCAGTTTGATCTATTGTGCTTCCCTCTATGGTATTCTACCAGTCTCTTTACCCTACCGATAAATGGTGCGTACCATCAGTCCCGCCGAGCAAGCGAGTTCGGCCACTTGCTTAGCGGTGTCTATAATGCTTCCCCCATCTATCAGAGGCCTTAGAGACTATTGTTGGGCGGGAAACGTCCTGGAATTTGGCTCAGTGATCCCCTTTGGGGATATGAGGTTCTTTTACGTGCCGTAAAGTTATGACACGGGACACACAGCTTAAAGTCCCTCCTGGAGGACTTGTTCCCTGAATTTTTCCGCCCTTAAAAATTCGACCACCTCCGCCAGGTATTTGAACCCGCGTACCACGAGTCATGAGGTGGGAACGTTACCTCTAGACTACGGAGGCCGCTTAATTTGAGTTACTGACAGCATTGTTAAACAAACTACAAGTATGTAAATAAATAGTATCTTTAAATTAGCCTTATGAGCTCTTCACCAAACTCCATCCTATCACCATTTGCAGCCATCCTCATATGTTGTCTAATCCATCATAATCATTGAAATTTAATATTCCTGAAACAGTATACTAGTGTAGTAAACAAATTGCATGTGTTGCAACATATCATAAAGACTTAAAAAGCTCCACTTGCTTATAACCTCAGTGCTGTTGCAAGTAAGTTTCATACAGTTATGTTTATATTACTTCGTTGGTTGCAGTACGATTGAGAATAAAGACTCAAAATTAACTCTCATTCCGGGATATGGCAGTGAGACATTTGTAAATGGAGAATTAGCAAAGGAACGAACTGATCTTCATCATGGAGATCGCTTAGTCGTAGGAGGAAACCATTACTTTCGAGTGAGCAACCCATATGAAAGGAGCACCACAAGTACAGGACAGTTGGTGGACTATGAATTTGCACACCAGGAAATCCTCAAGGTTCAAGAAAAAAAGTAAGACATTCTTTGTTACATGTTAAGTATAATGTTGTTGGTGACCAGATATTGCAGCCCATTCTTTGAAATGAATGTGTTACATATGTTCTTGTTTTTCAGACTTCAAGCAGAGCTGAATGAGGCAAAGGGACAGGCTATTCAAGAACTGGAAGAAGTTAAGAAAGAGGCAAAAAGACAGTTAGGCTGTCAGAGAATGAATTATGAGGAACAGCTCAAACAAATGGGCATTACATTAGTAAGTGGAATTTGAATATTACTAATAAAGTAACATGATTTCATATTGTCACAGTATGTTACTACTCAGGTTTGGGGGGCCTGCTTTTGTCTCAGACACCTACATGACTATGCTGTCATTCTCGCTCTGGTAATTAGAATCCAACCAGTAATACCAAACTCCATATAGAACATGAACCTCAGCAGTTCAGTCTAGTTCATGTCCTCACAACTTGCTTCACCTTACATTGTTCTCAGTATTATGTGTTCCTGGAAAGAAATGCATAAAATCAACACATAATGGAGGAACCATGTCTGTATCCCCATGTTTCATCTCCGACACTAATCAATTTCTGGGATATTGGGTGTCTACACTGAAAGTAACAAGGCAATGCAACACCTACTTTACATGAGGCTCAGACTTAATTACCTATTTTAATCACAGTGTTCATCATACAAACACCTGATACAAAACATAAATATGTAGCTCTCTGTGGGATCAACTTTAGTGGACAGGTGTATGTTATGGTGAATTATCAGTGAAATATAGAGGAAAAAGATATAATTTCTGACTATAGATTGCGATTACCTTTGCAACAATAGATTTGTATTTTCAATAAATGAGGTATTCAAAATACCATGGATTAGATGGGCAGGGTATGTAGCATGAATGAGGGCAAAGAAGAGTTCATATAGGATATTGGTGGGAAAGCCAGAAGGAAAGACACCACTGGGAAGATGAAGGCATACGTGGGTGGACAATATTAGAATGGATCTTAGAGAGATAGGATGGGATGGTATGGATTGGATTGTTCTGGCTCAGGATATGGACCAGTGGAGGGCTCTTGTGGACACAGTAATGAACCTTCGGGTTCCATAAAATGCTTGGAAGTTCTTGAGTAGCTGCACGATTGGCAGCTTCTCAAGAAGGGCTCAGTTCCATGAGTGAGTGAATGAAAATACCATGTTTACTTCTGTAATTTATGCACTTCTTTAATCAGAAATTTATGTCTGAAAGCTGTTATGCATAAAATATGCGAACAGTACTTTGCCTAATATAGTTTTACATATTAGGTTGGAGTAAAGAAAGTGGCTACAAGACTACTGATGAAAAGATGGACTGTGCGAGAAAAATAAGTGATTCCCATCAATTTTTGTTTTGTGTAAGATGACATAATTAATTTTATTAATGGATGACTTGTTACAGTTATTGTGTTTTTGGACAGTATTTCTCATCCTGTTCCCCCCCCCCCTTAAAACACAATGTTTTGGAAACTGGATTCTGCCTTGGTCTTCAGGTAAAAACCTACTCACTTGGGCTGAATTGATGAATCCAGTCTCTGAAACAAGTTAAAATTAAAAATAGGATGATGTATAATGTCCAACGATACAATAATTGTTTTTATATACCATTGTCACAAAGTTTTAGATCTCATTTGCATGACTTGTATATTAATCCATTCAGCAAACAACCGTTTCTCTTGACCAAATTTACAAAATCATCAAGTTCTTGCACATTTAATAATAATACATTGGCAGGGTGTGAAATTTATTTCTGCAGGTTGTACGTTTTCATTTATTAAGTATTTGAAACAAACTAAACAATTCTGCTGGTCCGTTTCATTGAGTAAAATGATACATGACTCCTCCCATACAGAATTAAAGCAAATCATAGGAGTCAATGCCTTGTAGTTCCAGCTACTCACTAACAGCCACACACGAGATCTGAAATTTGACTGAGAATCCAGTGTCTGTTTCAACTGTAATTTTGCAGTCCCCTTACATTGATAACATCTTTAGGATAGGTACCAGCAGACAAAAGCCTATGGATGTCACTGGGTGAAGGAGTTCTGCAGTGTATGCCTTTTATTCTTTCTCTTTTTTCCTTCTGTGTTCAGCAACATGCTAATGGTCATCAGCAAGTCCATGTTACTGTATTTTTTGTGAGCTGAATCGACCAGTTCCTCTGTCAACAATATTGTCATATATATAACAGAAAGTGGCTCAGAGGCCTAAACACATATCGGTTCAAACTGAGAGTGTATAAATCAAGGGGTATACAGTACACAGAGGTCCAGATTACATGAGTGATTACTAATATTTATATCTACCCAAAGATTTGCAGCTAAAGATTCGGAGTAAAAATCCAACATTTATTTTTTTTCCCCTGAAATTTCTTGCCTAAAAGGAGGTATGCATGAATTGTGCAAGTAAATATGGTATAGAGAACATATTTTTAAGGCATGTACTTCAGAATGGAAATAACCTTTCCACTCATTGTCCTGCCTTCTCCTCAGTCCTTCCAAATTGGGTCCCTACCAAAATTTTGTATGTACTTTATGTTTCTCACATGAACTAATTTATCATTCCTTGATTAAATTAACTGTAACCTAAAGATTTTTAATTTGCATGTGGGAGAAATATAATAAATGTAATGAATAAATAAACAAAATGAAGTTGCACATTTAACTAATGTGTGCCCATTGCAGAGGCTTCTTGCAAATTTTCCTAACAAGATTATTTTTTATGGTGAGGAGTTGTTAGTCCCACGCCCAACCTCAAAGCTGGAGGACCACCCCTTGTCGGCTGTATGCGACTGCTTATTCAGTATATTCGCAGCTACCATCCATACCTGGAGGGTGTCTCCTCTATCTGCAACCTGAGGATGTGCCATGCCGTGGTGACAAGGGATCCCAACAGAAGATAAAATTGATGACATAAAGGACAGGCTCTGTGAAGAACTAGCACATGTATTTAGTATTTGATAAATTCCCAAGGTTCATTCATTCATCTGTAATCTGTCAAAACGACAGGTCCACAGTCTTTTCCAAAACAGTTCCTCCACTTGATGCGATCTAGAGCTTTCTCCTTCAAATGAAAATATCCTCTTTTGTCCCCAAGGTCATCCAGCATCTTCTTACGTCTTCTTCCTTGTCTTCTGGTCACTTCTATCCGCCCCTCTATCTTTCCTTCAATTACTTCTATTAGAAGGCAGTTACTGCATAAGATATGACTAATCCAATTAGCCTTCTGTTTTCTTATTTCGTGTAGGATATTCCTCTGCTCGCTGACTCTAAATAACACTTCTTCATTTCTCACATAATTGGTCCAACTGATCTTCTCCATCCTTCTCCAACACCACATTTCGAAGCTTTCCAGGTGTTTCTGATCTACTGCCCTAAGTGTCCAAGTTTCAGCCCCATACAAAGCGATGCTCCAAACGTAGCATTTTACTAGTTTCTTTCTCAAATTTAAGTCCAGTTTGCTGGTAAAAAGACTCTTCTTCTTGCTAATTGCAGCTTTTGCCATGGCAATCCTAGATGTAATTTCACACGTACACCTTCCATCATCTGTTAACAAGCTACCCAAATATTTAAAACATTTCACATTCTCCAGTTGTTTTTGGTCTACTGGGGTTGCTTGTCTCGAAATTTTCATTACTTTTGTTACGTTTGTTTTTTCCAAGGTACCATATGAAAATTTTATTAGGAGATTTCAATGCTAAAGTCGGTAGGGAAGATATTTTCAAACCGATTGTGAATGAGAGTTTGCATGAAATTAGTAATGATAATGAAGTTAGAGTAGTAAACTTTGTCATACCAAAAAATCTTACAGTCAAAAGTACAATGTTCCCACCTCATAACATTCATAAATGTACTTGGGACATCTCCTGTTGGGAAGACACACGATCAAATTGATCATATTTTGATAGGTAGGAGATGGCATTCAAGTATACTTGATGTTCAATCATTCAGGGCAGCAGATTGTGACATTGACACGTACCTGGTGGTGGCAAAGGTTATGCAAAGACTGGCAGTGAGTAAGCAAACAACACACAGAGCTCATACTCGTATGTAGAGGTTCAATCTCAAGAAATTAAAAGAGGTAGAGGGTAAGGAGCAGTACCATATTGATATCTCAGATATGTTTAGCAGCTTTGGTAATCTTAGACACTGCGATGGATGTTAATGAAGATTGGGAAAGTATCAGAGAGAATATAAAAATGGCTGCCAAAGAGAGTCTAGGTTATTATGAACCGAAGAAGCATAAGCCATGGTTCAATGAAGGATGCTCAAAATTATTAGATCAAAGAAAGCAGACCAAATTGCAATGGTTACAGGATCCAAGTGAGTTAAATGGGGATAATCTAAACAATATAAGATGTGAAACCAGCAGGCATTTCAAGAATAAAAAGAGGGAATATCTGAAAGAAAGAAAATTGATGAGCTTGCAACGAACACTAAGGACAAGAACATGAGAGACCAGTATAGAGGAATAAATGACTTCAAGAGGGGTTACCAACCTAGAAGTAACTTTGTGAAGGATGAGAATGGTTATGTGCAGATTCCCGCAACATTTTGAACAGGTGGAAGAACTACTTCTCTCAGTTATTGAATATGCATAAGGTCAGTGATGTTAGGCAGATAGAAATACATACAGATGAGCTGTTAGTTCCTGATCCTAGCCCTTTTGAGGTTGAAGTTGATATTGCGAAATTGAAAGATATAAATCACCAGGTAGTGATCAAATTCCAGCATAACTTATGCAAGCAGCAGGTGAAATATTACATTCTAAGATCTATAAGCTAATTACTTTTATTTGGCATAAGGGAAAAATTGCCAGATCAGTGAAAGGAGTCTATTATTGTACCAGTTCACAAGAAGGCTGACAAAACTGACTGTAGCAATTATCATTGGATATCACTGCTACTAACTTCATCCAAAATTTTATCCAATATTCTTCCTTCAGTATTAAATCCATACATAGATGAAATTATTGGGGATCATCGGTGTGGGTTTTGACATAACAGATCAACTACACATCAGAGCTTTTGCATTCTTCAGATACTGGAGAAAAACGGGAGTACAGTGAGGCAGTACATCAGCTATTCGTAGACTTCAAGAAAGCCTATGATTCAGTTAGGAGGGAAGTATTGTATGATATTCTGATAGAGTTTGGGATACCCATAAAACTAGTTAGGTTGATTAAAATGTGTTTAAACGGAACGTATAGTAAAGTCCATGTATGTACACATTTTTCTCATAATTGTCCTATCCAGAATGGTCTAAAAGGAAGAGATGCATTCCCACTGCTTATAAACTTTGCTTTAGAATATGCCATTAGGAAGCTCAAGAGAAACCAGGTGGGACTGAAATTGGTCTATGCTGATGATGTAAATCTACTGGGTGATAAAGAACACACATACTACTCTGTCCAAAAAGTATCTGACCTTGGGCCAGGAAAACAAAGCTCTGTATCTGGGTGGTTACAATACCTAATCCCATTCAAAGTAGGCACCTTGTGACTCCACACAGTTAGTCCAGCAGTCCTTCCATTGCTGGAAGCAATTCTGGAAGGGTTCTTTTGGAATGGCGTGCAGCTGTGCCATCGTGTTCTGTATGATGTCCTCATGGCTGTCAAAATGGTAGCCTTTTAGCAGTGTCTTCAATCTTGGGAATAGCTAGAAATCACAAGGAGCCATGTCAGGAGAGTATGGAGCCTGGCAAACCTGAGGAATGCCATGCCTGGCCAGGAAACCCTGGATCAGGCATGATGAATGAGCTGGGGCATTGTCATGATGCAGCTGCCAGTTGTGTGTGTCTCAGAGCTCCGGTCTCTTGCACTGAATTGCATAATGCAGATGGCGGAGGACTTCTTGGTAATACTCCTTATTGACAGTTTGGCCTAGTGGTGCATATTCAGGATGCACAACACCCTGGTAATCGAAAGAAACAGTCAGTATCACCTTCACATTGCTCCAAACCTGTCGTGCTTTTTGGGGCCTCAGGGATGTTGGTTGCTTCCATTGTGACGCCTGGATCTTGGTTTCCAGGTCATATTCGTACACCCATGACTCGTCACCAGTGATCACAGTCTTCAGGAACTCAGGATTCCTGTTGGCGCACTCCAGCATATCCTGCACAACCTCAAGGCGGGGTTTCTGCTCCGGCGAAAGCAGCTTGGACACAAATTTTTCCGCCACTCTTTGCATGCCCAAATCCTCAGTTAAAATTGTGTTTGAGGTACCTCTGCTGGTCCCAACCTCATCAGCAACTTCTCGGATGGTCAAACGACGGTCCTCCATGTTCAGTGTCTGCACTTTTTCAATGACATCAGCATTTTGGCTCATTGATGGTCTCCAGGAACACTGGTCACTGTCTGCCGACATACGGCCAACGTTAATGCGGTTGGACCACTCTTTAATTTGAGTGACCCCCCCCACTGCATCATCGCCGAAAGCCTGCTGAATTTTGCGGATTGTTTCCGCTTGGGTATCCCCAAGTTTCTGACAAAACTTGATGCAGAATCATTGCTCCAAGCATTCTGTCATTTTGAGCGAAACGAGAATGCAACGAACATGTGTTATGCCACTTCACTATCTGGCAGCCACAGATGCATCCAGCGGTGTTGCAAGTCAGCAAAAAATCACATGTGCATGATAGTCCTTCTACCACTACACTCAGTTTCCCCACCCTTTGGCCATTACTTACAGCGGCAAAAAATAAAGTTTGATACTTCTTGGACAGCAGTGTACTTTAATTGATGCTAGTAAGGAGGTTGATCTAGAAATAAACACAGATAAAACTAAATATATGTTGCTGTTGTGCCCTGAAGGCCGACTCCCAGTAACACGTTAAAAGAGTATTTAATTTTTATTTTGGGGGAAAATGTTGGCTAGAATAGAATAAGTACTTTGGGCAATACTAGTAAGACGTATGAAAGAGAATGTAGAGAAGGGTTAAGAAACTTCAAAGAATTTCTACGTATGGAGTTAGACGGACGTTGGCCCGTGACGTGGGGATGTCCTGTCAGCATAATGACGTTGAAGGTATATCGAAATGCTAGCTCTACAAAATCTACACTTGAATGATGGGGGAATGTTTGGAGGTAAAGTGCTTAGCCAAATGGACTAGCTGTAAGGGGGCGTGTCCACCCCCAAGGATCCCAGCCAACGAGAGCCAGCCACCTTGGGACAGAACGTCATTGTAGGCGGACTTCCACCCTCCGGGAAAGTAATGAGTTAGCAAAAATAAAGGTACATAACCTGGGGAGTAAATTAGTATAGGGACGATTCAAACAGTAAATTTGGGCAGTTGTGGCCGAAGGCTATGCGGGGAGAAGCATCGACTGGATGCCGGGCAACGCCATCCGTCTGCAGTCTCAACGCAAAGTAAGTGGAACTACTCTTATCGTCATGCTATTTAATTGTGATATTATTAAAGTGTATCTCCTCCAATGGGACATGAGTTAGGAACGTTACGACAAGTGTACAGGGCGTAAGAGTGACTCATCGGAGAGATGCAGAGGTAGACATGTGTAATATAGAGACTGCAGAGGGTGTATCTAGATGCAGGGAAGATCGCTGCAGGGATGTGTAAAGATATTATATATATATATATATATATGCAGGGGATGAGAGAAGTGTAGTGGAGATACATGGATGAGTAGAATAGGGAAAAGAGGAGACTAGTGACCCGCAACTGGGTGAAAGGAAGGCAAAGATGCAGCCCAAAAATCGCCTAGAAAGGCGTAATATGTAATCCGACACCAGTCAGCTCTCTATAATGTATATAGCTGTAATTTGATTGTCTATAACTAATATAGGGTAGCATAGGGTGAGAATGTGGATTTTTGTTGATGTGATTTCCTTCCTTACCGCATTTCGCACCTGTGCCCTCCTGACATGCCCTGTGAACTGTGCACACCTAGCCAATGAAGGAACGGCCGAGGCAGTAATTTAACCGTTTTCTTAACCTCCCCCCTGTTATGGCAGTACAGTTGCTATCTCATCGCCAGAATGCAGGGCAGAATCAGGACAAATAGATAGATAACAGATCTGCAGCGGCCCGGTTTCAATCTTGGGTCTGGTCAAGTGGGATTTGTGGTGGACAGGTTTTCTCCGAGTACTTCGGTTTACCCTGCCAATATTCATTCCACCAGTTGCTCCACAATCATCCTCACCTATCATTTGGGGCTGGTACAGTAGGCCAGAAGTGGCTGCGGTACAAGGGACTTAGTCCCACCCCACTAACATTAAAAAAAAGAAATGAGATAACAGATGTTTTGAAAGTGTAGCACTGTTCAGATATTTGGAAGCAACTATAACAAATCAAAACCTGATTCAGGAAGAAAATAGGAGGTTGAACTCGGGTAATGCTTGTTACCATTCATTCCAGAAACTTTTGTCTTCTCATTTGCTGTCTAAAAATATAAAATCAGAATATACAAAATTATAATTTTGCCTGTGGTTCTGTACAGGTGTGATCTTGGTCTCTGACTTTAAGGGAGTAAAATAGACTGAGGGCATTTGAGAACAGGGTGCTGAGGAGAATATTTGGACCGAAGAGAGATTAAGTGACAGGAGGTTGGGGGAAACTGCATGAGGAGTTTCATAACTTCTACACTTCTCCAAGTATAATTAGAATGGTCAAGTCAAGGATGATGAGATTGGAAGGGCATGTAGCACGAATGGGGAGAAGATGAATGCATGTAGGATATTGGTGGGAAGGCTGGAAGGAAGGAGACCATTGGGATAACCAAGACTTAGGTGGGTGAACAATATTAAAATGGATAGGATGGGATGCTATGGTGTGGATTGGATTGATCTGGATCAGAAGAGGGACATGTGGAGGGCTCTTGTGAACATGGTAATAAACCTTCAGGCTCCATAAAATGTTTGAAGTTCTTGAGTAGTTGCATAATTGGCAGCTTCTCAAAAAGGGCACAGCTCCATGAGTGAGTGAGTGAGTTCCCATTGCAGAAAAGGAAATTGATATAATTCATATTTAATGTCCTTCAGTAGTGCAGACATCAGCCATATTTATTTCTCTTAGTGGTCAGTGAAGAAACAAAAAGTCCACCAAAGATATGTTGAAAATGTTAACTTTCAATTGTTTATGTTTATTGTGCTATGTGCTTTTTTGGTCTGCTTCTATTTTGAGTGATTTTGAACAGAAATATTAATACATTCATTCTTTACAGGAGGAGCAAAAAAATGCTCTATCTATAATCCAAAGCAAGAAAGATGAACTGGAGACACAAAATAACATGTTAGAAGCTGAGGCTCAAAGGAGGAAAGCTGCTCACGAAACAACCACAGACTTCATTGTGATACCATACAGATCAGACTTCTTGAAGGTAGGATTCTTACAAATGAATGCTTTGACACATCTGTGTTTGTCTTCAGACTACCTGCAGGTAATATTACAAGCAGAAGACCTGGCAAGACTCTGTTTCCTGAAAGAAGAGTCTGTGGAAACATACTTTTAACTTCAATCCTCTGCCTCACCACTCTGTCATTTGGAGTAAACAGAATCCATCCTATGAGTTCTCCTGCAACAGAAGAACATCCCTTCATCACTGACATTCATGCCAGTGGAAATTACAGTGTTAATTAGCCTCAAGAATATTGCTGTTGCCTGACGCATGTTTTTGGCCCTTTCTCTAGCCTCTTGTGGTCAGTGGTTTGTGAATGTGACATATATGTACTATGCCTGCACAAGGTACAGATCATGTATTAATGTGTAAGACGCCTCATTCTCATGTTTACTATCATCCCATCATTGGGAAAATAGAAGTCACTAGCCACAAACAACCAGAGACTGGTGAGGAGTCTTCATAATATTACATTGTAGCATCATGTAGCCCATCACTTATTATTCAATAAATGTCATTGGTTCACCATCTTACATGCAGTAACATTAAACTGACCCTCCATAAAGCTCGTATTAGATCCGTAATGACTTATGCTAGTCCCGCCTGGGAGTTTGCGGCAGACACTCATCTAGTGAAATTGCAGCGCCTGCAAAACAAGGTTCTCCGCACGATTGGCAATTTTCCAAGGCGCACACTGGTCCGCAATTTGCACATGGCATTCAAAATTCCGTACGTTTATGATTACATAACAAAATTATGCAGGCAACAAGCAGAAGTCATACAAAATCATGATAATGAGAATGTTCGCAACATCGGACAAGGCGAAGCCCGACACAGAAAGTATAAGAGGCTTAAACTTAGTGGCGATCAGGCCNCTTTCATTCAAAAGAAATATCTGGTCATGAGCCCCAGCTGGGGCTCGACACCAAGACAGACAGACTGACTGACCGTCAGTTGCAACGTGACTCTGACTCTGACTTACATGCAATAGGTCCTTCTAAAACTTATTTAATAGATTCTTACATACACACAATGCAGCTTTTAAACCTTATTTTAAAAGCTTCTCTACATCACACTACATGTTTTGATCAACACTGTTCATCATCATGTTTTTATAATTGGTGGTGGAAACTGCTGTGCTTCCATTTTGTGAGTCTAATATTCAATATAGTCCCATCTATGCATTTGTGTATGTTATGGTCCTGGGTGTCTCTTCCTGTTGTGTTGTGTCTGGACTACAGAAGCTTTTAAATAAGGTTTGAAAGATGCATTGTGTTATGTAAGAAGCTTTTAAATAAGTGATATAGCAAACCTCTGACATTTGTTGAGTAATAAGGATAAGATTTTATTAACTGATTAGTAAGTAAACTTGATATTTCTGCTTACCAAACTGTAACAACATTATGTTCTTGTAAATGATACTGCCTCTTTGCTTAGGAAATTGAAGCTGCTTTAAATGAAACTGTGGTGGAGAATGAAAACATCCTGAAACTGGAAACTAGTCTCTCTGAGAGCTCTGACTGTACAGGTCTCCATGAACTTATAGTAGCAGTACAAGAAGCTAACCAACGTTGCAGAGAGCTACACATTAATTTTGTAAGTTGACTGTGATAAGGATAAGCAGAAAAAGGGGAAAATCTCATGATGTGGGTATCTCCAGGTACTTATGTACATTGTTTCTATGCAACACTGCAAGAATAGCCAAAAATTTTTCCCAAGGTACAAATTGTAAGCTATTTATTCCAATAATGTTGTAGCAACAGTTTTTGCAGAAGACTCGTGCATATGATAACAGCAAAATTAACTTTATCTCTTGTACACTGGATTTCTTCTGTTGGAGAACTGTCTTGAAAGAGATGTAAATTTATTCCTGAAAATTCAATTCTTTACTTTTACATTAAGTTTGCAGTCACTTTGCTTTGCAGCAGCAGTGTGCCACTGTTCACTCTCTGCTGTTATATTTTAACGGGATCTAGTTCTTCTTCGATGCTTGCTTCTCACAGATGAATAATTGAGAAATCTGAAACAGTTTTTTATTGCCTTCCCCACTTTTGTATTGATCTGAATCTGACTCATTGACTAATCTGTATATTGTGCTGCCATAATAATATTCATATTTTTCATTCTCAGACCAAGCAAAATAATCAGCTACTTATTTTGCTTGAATGGGTCAGACACCCACATGATAAAATTCTATATTTGGATTGGAATGTGTATTGTTCCATTGACCCTCACTTGACATTGGTTGTAAGATGACATAAGGAACACAAAACATGTAGTTTGTATTATAAGGAATGTCTCAAGTCACAATAAAAGCATTTACAGTGATGTGCTCAAGGTGGAATAACACCACACTGATGTAAGTTAGAGACTTTTAATGATGACAACTAGTACTAGAAGCACTGAAATGTTCATGTCATCATTTCAGTTAGTTTTTGAAGACAGTTTTTTGTAATTCTGGTATATTTGGTGCCTTGACTGAATAAGACAAACAGTACTTGTACAGTTGGCAGGCTGAAAGTAAAATTATTACAATATAAATTGCAACAATTGAGGAATTTTATAAAATGCATAGGATATCTGAATTAACTTCTTAATTCCATACTGTCACGGAATATAGTTCTAATTAAGTACTAGATATGTTGATACCATGACCATGATCCTGCCATTTCTTTAACTACAGTAAAACTTTGAGCAATTCATTCATAATGGTGAATCTACTTCATACAGCATTAAAATGAAAAATGGGAGTATAAGTGTGTTAACAATTTGGGTTGTGTACATAAATTGCTATTGAGTGATAAGCTGAGAAGTTATTACTGTTTCTGTATGTTCACTCAACGTTTCTTTTCGTAGGAATTTCACCAGCAGCACATAATTGGAGAGTCAGGCCTGGAGCCCACAGTAAGAGTCTGTGACACTCTTAAACATCTGGCAGCTTTCTGGAAGCCTGCAAATTTCCTCCAGTGGCTTTGTCAATTGCGTGATTATGAACCAGTTAGTCATTTGCTACCTGTTGCATTACATATTTTCCTGAAATTTAAGACTATACCAGGCTAGCCCAGCCCTTTGCTATAACATAAACACATTGTCTGGAAACATACAAGCAGGGTCAAAGGGAATTCCACAACAGCTGAAGGTGTTTTTCTGTTTCCATCCCCAGTATCCTCATGAGTCACGATGCATTTTCTAATATAAATTTGAAATAACTGACGTCATGAAGAAAGCCTGTCAAGTTATACCATTAGGCCAGAAGTGGCCACAGTACAAGGGACTTAGTCCCACCCCACTAGCAATAAAATAAAAAGTTATACCATGAAAACTTGGAAATAATATTTTGTTTTTGGCACGGGGTGGAACTCCTTTAACCTTTATCGGACGAACGTCATCATATGATGTCGTTAAAAGTTAGGGCAGCTGGCCGAACGTCATCATATGATGTCGCGGATTCCACGCGTATAAGGTTTTTTTTTAATATTATATTAAAAATATAAATTGTTGTTCTATTTACATGATTTTTGGTCACCACCTTTATAA